CGGGTTCAAGTGATTCTCCTGCCTCAGCCTCCCGAGTAGCTGGGATTACAGTCACTCACAACTACACCCAGCTAATTTTTGTAGTTTCAGTAGAGACAGGGTTTCACCATGTTAGCCAGGCTGGTCTCAAACTCCTGACCTCAGGTAATTCACCCACCTTGGACTCCCAAAGTGCTGGGATTACAGGTGTGAGCTACCATACCTGGCCTAATTTGGATGTTTTAAATAAATTTGTTTAACCTTCCTGCAAAGACCAGAGTATAGGACAGGAGTCACTCATCAAACACAGGGCCATTACACATGGAATGGCCCCTACTTCCATTTCCTATAAACTCATTCTATATTTGTGTTAATGCTGTGGTATTTTTTATTAAGCTTATAGAAACTCTATATGATATTCCCTGTTTTAGCTTTCTTCGTACTTGTCCTTTCTACTGATCTTTGTCATGAAGTTGGTTCTCCTTTAGCACCCTTTTATGCTGCTGTCTTCCCACTGGCAAATTACAGTTATCTCCCTGTTATTTACTACATGAAATAAAGTTATTTTGTGTTTACAGCAGACACAATCCTAAAAGTTCCTAAATTCCAAATTCTTTCTTTTTTTTCATGAAGCAACAGAGATATGCTATGTCTCCCAGCTTCCCTTAACATGAGGTGTTTGCATATAACTGAGCTCTGCGTAGTGGAATGTGAGTGGAGGTGTTGAATGCCTCTTCCAGGCCTAAATCCTAGGACCCCCTTCCCATTGCCTTCAAGCTTTCTCCCTCGACTTACCCACTATCAAATACAGAGAATCAAGTGTAGACTTGATCAAATGTTGTAGGCCTAGCACATGGTGAAGCTGCTGGATGAAAGAAACCTGGGTTTCTGAATGTCTGAGTGGAGTAATAACTACCTCCCCAATGGCTGATCCATTGCTGACTGACCCAGGAGTGAAAATTAAACCTTTGCTTTTTCAGGCATGTAAATTAGAGAATTTGCCTTAACTAATTAATAGAATGTGTTTTCCTTGGCTCTCTCATAACTATTCCTAGCACCCCCATCTATGTACTTTCTTGGACAATTCCACATAATTAAGCTCCTTCTAAAGATAAGGGTGGTTTCTCCTTGGCACCTATAGCAATGACATGAATTATCACATCAGTCTTTGCTGTTGTTTCTTCCAGATGGAATAATTCCTTCTCTCTCTGTATGCCACATGCTTTCATCTCTAAGATATTAATTCAATATACCCCTCTTCTATGAAACCTTCTCATATTATTTTAAACACATGTGAATCTGTTATTCACTGAGCTTATTCGTTTAGTTTTTTTTTTTTTCCCCCACCAACTGTAAATTATGAGATGTGTGCTAAGTTGTGAGCAAAATCAGTAAGACTAATGACTGGTATCAGCAAGCTCACCATACATGGCTCAAATAAGGAAATGAACAAAAAATTAACATTGTTTTGATATGTATGTATGTGCACTGCTTTTATGAAAGCACATAAAATGTGTTCTAATTTACTCAAATATTGCTGTTGAGTGACATGTCACTTTAGCTGAGTAGCTGAATCTTGATGTAAAAGTAGGTATTAGCCAGATAATATGCAGGAGAAGTGAAAGGTATTCCAGGCCAAGAGAACAGCATATACAAAGGCCCTGGGATGACAGAGTACAGTCACAAAGATAGTACATTGGTGTGAGAAGAGTGAAATGTCAGGATGTGCCTGAATAGAAAATTTGTCATTAAGCAATAAGTTCAATTTTTCAGAAAGCATGCCAGAATCTGGGGATATAAAAAATAAATAAAACCAGGTTTCTGTTATGAACTTATTTATAGCCTAACTAGAGAGAGAGAAAAATAATCACAGTAGAATGTGGAAATATGATAACTATTTTATCTTATTTTATTTTGCTTTATTTACATTTAGTGCAGAGAGGATTTAGGGACCAGAGTAGAAGGAAGGCAGGGTTAGAACAAGCATCAGAGAGAGTGGAGGAAAAAATGGCAGATAAGAGGCAGGACTAAATTGCAGTGCACACTTGGACAGAGAGAGCAGCGTGTGGAGACTCACAGCATAAGCTTTTGCTCTAAGAACTACTTCAGAAATATACCACGAAAGCCGAGGAAATCCAGAGACCCTTTAAAGGAAGGGAATTGCTCCTGCAGGACTTGATAGACAGCCCAAATACTGTGATTGTCCAAACTGTGAAGGTGGGAAAGGGAAATTATCTGCCCTCAAACACATACCCTCACTGGGGAACCTGAAAGTCTAGATCATGGAAGAAGGATCTGACCTTACCTGGAGCTGAGACAATTTAGAAAGCCAAGCAAAATACATAGGTAGAAGAAGCAATGGGAAAAGACCTGTGGCCTCTCTGTGTCATTAGGGAAGCCATTTCTGCCTTGTCTCACAGGGATCCTTGGGAAAGGCTACCAGGGGAACTGGGAAAAGATCACAAAAAGAAACCTACAGCTGAACTTTGCAACAATTCCAACTGAACACAAAGCTTTCTGACCAGAACTTGGGGAAAGGGGTGAATCTGTTATACAAACTAAAGCAGAGCTTGTACTCAAGCAGAGAGTACAAACTCAAGCAGAGAGGCATGAAAGCCCTGCTTACTTTCTTAACCAGGAGGCTGGTAACCTGGGGCAAGTTTTCAGCCTTTCTTAATCACTGCCTACAAACAAACTCGGTCCTATTGGGGTGGGGACAAGGTAGGAGTGAGATTCAGCCTTTTGGATTGCATGGAAGTTGGGTGAGGCCTGTAACTGATGCCTTTCCCCCATTTCCCTTACAACCTGGATGACACATCAGAGAGAATAATTGAGGAAAACTTCTTCAGCCTTGCTAGAAATCTAGACATCCAAATACAATAAGTTCAAAAACACCTAAGAAATTAATCACAAAATGATCATCACCCAGGCACATAGTTAGGTTACCAAACGTCAAGATGAAGGAAAGAATATTAAGAGCTGTGAGGCAAAAGCACTAGGTAACCTATCAGATTAACAGCAGATATCTTAGAAGAAACTCTATAAGCTAGAAGGAATTGGGGACCTATTTTCAGCCTTCTTTAGCAAAATAATTATCAGGCAAGAACCTTGTATCCAGTAAAAATGAGCTTCATAAATAAAAGAAGATATGGTCTTTTTTGAATAAACAAATACAGAGAGAATTTGCCATTCCTAAGACAGCACCACAAGAATTGCTAAAAAAAAAAAAAAAAAAAAAAAAAAAGCTCTAAATCTTGAAACAAATCCTGGAAACACATTAAAACAGGACCTCTTTAAAGCATGAAGCTCACAGGACCTATAAAACAAAAATACAATTTAAAAAAAGGCAGCAAGGTATTCAGACAACAAATAGCGTGATGAATGGAATAGTATCTCACATCTCAATGCTAACTTTGAATGTGAAGGGCCTACATGCTACACTCGAAAGATACATAACTGCAGAATGGATAACAATTGACTAACCAACTATCTGCTGTCTTCAAGGGATTCACCCAACACATAAGGACTCACATAAACTTAAGGTAAAGAGGTAGACAAAGACATTCAATGCAAATGGACATCAACAGTGAGCAGGAGTAGATATTCTTACATCATACACAAAAAAACTTTGAAGCAACGCAGTTAAAATAGACAAAGAGGAATATTATATAATGACAAAAGGCCTTGTCCTGCAGGAAAATATTACAATCTTAAATATATATATGCACATAACACTGGAGCTCCCAAATTTATAAAACAGTTACTACTAGACCTAAGAAATGAGATAGACAGGAACACAATAATAGTGGGGACTTCAATACTCCACTGACAGCACTAAACAGGTCATTAAGACAGAAAATCAATAAAAAAAAAAACCAAGAATTTAAACTATACCTTAGAAGAAAGGGACTTAACAGATATTTACAGAACCTTCTACTCCCAAACTGCAGAATGTACATTCTATTCCTCGGTGCATGGAACTTTCTCCAAGATAGACCATGTGATAGGTCACAAAACAAGTCTCAATAAATTTAATAAAATTAAAATTATATCAAATACTCTCTCAGACCACAGTGGAACAAAATTGGAAATCAACTCGAAAAGGAACGCTGAAAACCATGCAAATACATGGAAATCAAATAATCTGCCCCTGAATGATTATTGGGTCAATAAAAAAAAATCAAGGTGGAAATTTAAAAATTCTTTGAACTGAATAATAATAGAAACCACTGGGATGAAGCAAAGGCAGTGTTTAAAGTTCATAGCCTTAGATGCCTACATCAAAAAATTTGAAGGACCACAAATAGACAATCTGAGGTCACACGTCAAGGAACTTGAAAAACAAGAACAAACCAAATCCAAACCCAGGGGAAGAAAAGAAATAACAAAGATCAGAGCAGAACTAAATGAAATCAAAACAAACAAACAAACACAAAATCTAACAAAAACACAAAAGATAAATGAGGCAAAAAGCTGGTTCTTTGAAAAGATAAATAAGATTGATAGAACATTACCATGGTTAACCAAGAAAGAAGAGAAGATTCAAGTAAGCTCAATTATAAATGAAATGGGAGATACTACAATTAACATCACAGAAGTACAAAAGATCATTAAAGGCTGCTATGAACATCTTTATACACCTAAACTAGGAAACCTAGAGGAAATGGATTCCTGGAAATATACAAACCTCTTAGCTTAAATAAGGAAGATTTAGAAACCCTGAACAGACCAATAACAAGCATTGAGATTGAAATGGTAATTTGAAAACTACAAAAAAAAAAAAAAAAAACTTCCAGGACCAGACAGATTCAAAGCTGAATTCTATCAGACATTTAAAGAAGAATTGGAACCAATCCTATAGATACTATTCCACAAAATACAGAAACAGGGAATCCTCCTTAAATCATTCTTTGAAGGCAGTATCACCCTAATAACAAAACCAAACAATGAAATAACAAAAAAAGAAAACTACAGACCAGTATCCTTGATGAAAATAGTTGCAAAAACCCTTAAGAAAATACTAGCTAACTGAATCCAATAGCATATCAAAAAGATAATCCACCATGATCAAGTGGGTTTCATACCAGAGATGCAGGGATGGTTAAACATACACAAGTTAATATATGTGATACACCACATAAACAGAATTAAAATTTAAAATCACATGATCATATCAGTAGACATAGTGAAAACATTTTGAAGTATCCAGTACCCTTTTATGACTAAAACCCTTTGCAAAATCAGTATACAGGTGACATACCTCAATGTAATACAAGCCATCAATGACAAACCCACAGCCAAAATAATATTGAATGAGGAAAAGTTGAAAGTATTCCCTCTGAGAATTGGAACAAGACAAAGATGCCCACTCTCAGCACTTCTATTTAACACAGTATTGGAAGTCCTAGCCAGAGCAATCAGACAAGAGAAATAAATAAAGAGCATCCAAATTAGTATAGAGGAAGTCAAACAGTTGCTGTTTGTTGATGATATAATTGCATATGTAGAAAACCCTAAAGATTCCTTCAAAAATGCTCCTAAAAGTGATAAATTTAGCTGAGTATCCGGATATACAACTAATGTGCACAATCAGTTGCTCTGCTATACATCAACAGCAACCAAGGTGAGAATGAAATCAAGAACTCAACCCCTTTTCCAATGGCTACAAAAAAATAAAATAAAATACTTAAGAATATACCTAACCAAAGAGGTGAAATACCACTACAAGGAAAGCTACAAAACAATGCTGAAAGAAATCACAGATGATACAAACAAATGGAAGCATATCCCGGGCTCATAGATGGGTAGAATTAATACTATGAAAATGAGCATACTGTCAAAAGCAATCTACAATTTCCACTAATATACCACTATCATTCTTCATAAAGCTAGAAAAAAAATCCTAAAATTCATATGGAACAAAAAAGAGCCTGCACAGCCAAAGCAAGATTAAGCAAAAAGAAAAAATCTGGAGGCATAACATTACCTGACTTCAATCTATACTATAAGGCCATAGTCACCAAAACAGCATGGTACTGGTATGAAAATAGGCACCTAGACCAATGAAACATAATAGAGAACCCACAAATAACCCCAACAGCCAACTGGTCTTCAACAAAGCAAGCCAAAATATAAAGTGGGGAAAGGACACACTATTCAACAAATGGTACTGGGATAATCGGCTAGCAACATGTAGGAGAATGAGACTCTCCTCATCTCTCATCTTATAGAAAAATCAACTCAAGATGGATTGTCGACTTAAATCTAAGACCTGTAACTATAAAAATTCTAGAAGGTAACATCAGATAAATCCTTCTAGACATTGGCTTAGGCACAGGCTTTATGACTAAGAACCCAAAAGCAAATGGAAGAAAAACAAAGATAAATAAGTGAGACATAATGAAATTAATGAGCTTCTACATAGCAAAAGAAGTGGTCAGCAGAGTAAACAGACAACCCACAGAATGGGAAAAAAATTTTCACAATCTATATATCCAATAAATGACTAATATCTAGAATCTACAAAGAACTCAAACAAATTAGCAGGAAGAAAACAAACAACCCCCTCAAAAAGTGGGCTAAGGGCATGAATAGACAGTTTTCAAAAGAAGATATACAAATGACCAACAAATATATGAAAAAAATGCTCAACATCACAAATAATCAGGGACATGCAAATCAAAACTTCAACAGAATGCCACATTATTCCTCCAAGAATGGCCATAATCAAAAAAAAAATTAAAAAAAATAAAACAGATGTTTGTGTAGTTACAGTGAAAAGGGAACACTTCTACACTGCTGGTAGGAATGTAAGATAGTACAACCATTATGAAAACAGCATAATACTCCCTTAAAGAACTAAAAGTAGAACTACCATTTGATTCAGCAATTCCACTACTAGATATCTACTCAGAGAAAAGAGGTCAGTATACAAAATAGATACTTGTACACACAGGTTTATAGCAGCACAATTCACAATTGCAAAAATATAGAACCAACCCAAATGCCCATCAATCAACGAATGGAAAAAAGAATCTGTGGTGTGTGTGTATGTATATATGTGTGTGTGTGTGTGTGTGTGTGTGTGTGTGTGTGTGTATGTGTGTTATATACATACACATATATATGTATATATGATGTAATAATACTCATCCATAAATCCATATATATATATATTAGTGGTATTGAATTAGTAGTATGAATTAGTAGTATTGCATCATGCAATGCTACCAATTCATAAAAAATGAATTAATGGCATTCTCAGCAACCTGGATGGAAATGTAGACTATTATTCTAAGTGAACTTACTCAAATGCAGTAAACCAAACATCGTATGTTCTCACTTGTAAGTGGGAGCTAAGCTATGAAGATGCAAAGCCATAAGAATTATACAATGGACTTTGAGGACTTAGGGGAAAGAGTAGGAGGCGGGTGAGGGATAAAAGACTACAGATTGGATTCAGTGTATG